TGTTTTGCATAGGACAGCTAAGAAATGTACAAAGTTTCAAAATACACGTGCTGGGCTCTTGTTCTGCCAATTAGATCTCTTGTTTTTCCACGTCCTCGTTGTCGTCACCGTCATGGTTGCTTAAGGTCCCTAATGAGAATTCTCAAACTTATCACGTAGAAGTTGTTATCTTGGTCTCACAGCAAACTCTTGCAACCAACTTACAAGAAAATATCTAGTGGCTAAAAGGGAGAATTAACAATCAGATCTTGGAGTGACAGGGTAAAAAAAAAATTACTCTTTGCATAAACTGGTAATTTCCTTTACAGTAGGTACGAATGAAAATTGATAAACAAAGAAAAGCAAAACAGGCAAAAACCACAGTATATTTCAAAATTTACAAAAAATAATAATCACAATTAACCTGCAATAACATGTGGTCCTATAAACTCTTTACACACCAACATCAGAATACATATTCTCCATACTGTTCTGTATACATTTCCTAGGGTGTTGACAAGGAGAATTTGTTTAACAATCAAGAGCTTCTTCATTAGGTGATCATTTCCTTTATTCACCTAACCTTAATGTGTGATTCAGGGGTGATATCATACAGAGAAATTAGATGCTCGTCACTCTTCAGGGCCAAGTACTTAACTCACAGTACTCACCAAATCATCAGCAAAGATGAATATTATGTAAGGCTGACTGATATTCTTGGCTTGAGCAACAATACTAAGTACAGAGGACAAAACTGCCAACTGCAGGATTGCACACATGGTCAAATATTTTTGGTATAACTCTGTGCAAGCCTATGATCTGCAGTCTCACAAGGTTTCGTGGCCGGCTGCAACGAAAATAATAATTGCTATGCCTTAATTTAGCTTAACTAATGCCCAGATACTGGCACTAGATGATAATGAGTAACATCTGGATTCCATTCGAAGTAAACATAATTACGACGAAAGTTCAGCCAAATTTTTATCTCTTTCCAAGTTAGGGAAAGAGTACCATGTCACCCCATACATTAATTATGCATTCAGACTGATAGTTTGTTTTTAAAGTTATGTCATAGAAGACAAAGAAGTGGAATGCATAATTAATGTATGGGGTTATATGGTACTCTTTCCCAAGTTAGGATCAAGGTGGTTTTGAGGCTTTTCGTTAGACTCACCTCACTGCACCATCTTAAATCTTGATTTGAATGTGTTACAGTAATATTCACATGATGCTCATGTGACCTGCAGTCCTGGAAACAGCAATGATTTGCATTCAGCGTACACTTAATTTGCGCATGCAAGTTCTAGCAAGGATCATCGACAACTTTTGCGTTCAGAAGAGTGAGCTAATGAAAATCATGGATTTGACGAAAATGCAAGAATTTTTTACCAATTTTACGTTCTACGCTGGTTTAGACTTTCATCTTCATCGTAACGCAAGAATACTGGGAACGTCGTGAAGAACTTGTTGTTGGTCTCCTTCAGAGGGAGCATTACGTGACATCCTGTAACACGCTGCGAGGGAGCCTGGGCTCTAGCAGTGAAAGGTCCTCAGTTTGTGGAGAAGCAACAAAGCAGGAGCGCGTAAAATCGCGAAACAGACGCAGAGGGCACTTGATTGGACGATCGAGATCTCCCGACGGAAAAAAGAAACGAGTGGTTCTGGGGAAGAGAGTGGGGAAATGGGAACGGGAATTTCTCCTGCATTACTCTCTCCCCGAAGGCTAGGCTATCTCGGGATAGAATCCTGTGCGTCATCTCTTTAGGATACGAGCCGAGGTGAGCGCTAGATCCTCCGGCGGTTTCCCCTCTTCCTAACCGTCATAGTGGCCCTTTATCACTACCCAGCAAGTGCATGTTTTTATAGGAAAAATAGGGCACTTAAAAAGAGTAGCTACAGAATGACAACGGTTATGTCTTTATTCAAGGTCATCGGAAAACCCTCTGAAAAAAAAAAATTACAATTAGCCTTGTTCAGATAGATGTTCAAAACTGTGATAATGCTGACTTACGTCACGTATCTGCCTGCATAGGATATATGGAAAAGTAGATTATCATGAGTTAATTTTTTGATAAATTTATGATCAAACTTGAACGTAATCGTCGTCACAAATATATACACGCTCAGTGAGGTACTTAAATGTACGTATAAATTCTGCATGTTTTATTGACGGGGGGAGAATACTTGTAGCTCTCATTAAAGTACATACAATAAATTACTGTTGCACCTCTCTGCAAGGAGTCGACAATGAAGGGGCATCACGTGCTGCTCCCAACAGCAACCGAAAGTCAAGGTAAAGGGCGACTCTAGAAGCATGTTAGTGCGTAGGGCAAGAGTCGGCAATGTCGGCGAGCGGTATAACGGGGAAAAGAGCAGTGTTCTATGTTATTTCACCATCCCGACCATGGACTCTTGTGTTCCTACAAAAAAATCTCGCTCCACAGAAAATAAAACGTGTGAACACATGTTATCTCCAGAGAGTTTCTTCGCTTGCTACTGCTTGAAAAAGAGAGCGTTTAGTCACCGTAGGGAGGTTCCAAAGAGTGTAAAATATAGCGATGCGTTTATTAATGGGATAATTTTAAGGAACATTGTCTTTTTGGAGAGGTGGTAAGGAGATCCGTTTTATCATCGCTGCAGGTTATTTGTCTCCCTAATTTGAAGTAGTCTGATATCGTCGCTCTTTGGCGTTGGCCCGTAGTTTGACCTTGCCTGTGTACTTGAGATCGAATCAGCCCCGTAAGTCAGGATTCACACTGTTCATCCTTGGACCATCTCGACAACAGACAAGGTTCCAAAAATGTCTTCGAAAAACACTGCTCTGCAAGCTGTACACAACTGGATTAACAGTGGAGTTTAAAAACACCAGAGCTGATGCAATATTAAAATGAATCGCCTGTAATTTGATAACCCCTGTAAACCCCAAGAAGTAGATGGTCAACTCAGGAACCCAACAAAACGTATAAACAACTGTCACAGCAATGACAAGCTTAGTGACACGCCTTCTGTGGCGCAGCAATGCTCTCTGGGTAGCCTCGTTTTCCTGATCCTTAAACCACAGTCGGTATACAACACGAGCGTACAGGCAACCCATGATGCCTAAAGGCATTACTCCCGCCACCACAGTCCACCCAACGGTGTAAACATTGGCGTAAATATCCTTAGGCCAGCTGTGAACACAACTTTGCAACTCACCGTTGTAAACTGTCATGAAAAATCCTACTCCGGCCCACAAAAAAGCAAGAAACCAGCTGACAACAACGAAGATGACAATCTTTGTCATGGTGAGTTTACCCCGTTGGCTGTGTGGATACATCACTGCGAAATAACGTTCGATTGCTATGGCAACCAGCGAGAAGACAGATGTTACCGCACCCACCCACCCAGGAACACCGCCTGTAATGAGTTTACATAGAAGATCACCAGTGCTCCCCTCTGGGTGCTTTAGAGTTGGAGTGATTATGAATTGTATCCCGAAGAAAATACCAACCAGTATGTCTGCTACAGCAAGATTGACAAGTAGATAATTGACAGGTGTCTTCATTGATTGGTTTCGCAGGACAACAAGAATGACGAACGTGTTACCAATGATATCCAGAACCGCCATTATTGAATAGACAATGGCGAATACCTCGTACATCGACCACATGTTTGCATTTATTACTTGCTTGAGACCTACAATAAAAAAATAGAAACTAAGATTACCCGCTTCTTCACCCTATATATAAAATGAGCTTATCTGGGAAAGTAAAACATGATTGAAGATGATGCAATTCTTTTCTTTTTCTGAGGCCTACCTTATTACAGGAAAATAACGATGCACTTTAATGACGTGATTTTGAAATAAAGGCAGTCTCTGACTACGTGTGCCTACTGTTGTATAGTTGTAGATATTGGAGTAAAAAAGCAATGTAGAGTAAAATGCAGAGAGGTTACTGAACAGTTCTTGTCGATCGCTAACTTGAGACAAAAGGAGGAGTTGGTTAGAGCAGAGTTTGTACACTGGTCAATTAACAGGCCGGGGACAGGGCAGGAAATTAATAGAATAGCCTTGTATTTAATGTGCATTGAATTTCATTTCAATGCAAAACTTCGCCATTTTACACGCTCTGCGTACCCGGCACTAAGGATATACCTTCTCCTCTCGAGTTTCGAGCCCTGGCCGCATCAACTCTTTTTCCTTGTCTTTTTTTTTGTTTTTTTTGTTTTCCTCTTTTTCCATTTCAATCTAAATTCCTTTTCAAAGGATATGTTAGATATGTTAGATATGTTCGGAGTGAACGCTAATGAATAAACGTTTGACGAAGTAGCTCGTACGTTCAACTTGACAGCAATGTCGAATTGCATAGACGAAGCCCCCCAAAAGAAATTAACTCAACCCGAAAAAAAACAAAAATAAATAAGATCTAAAAGTAAACATCCTTTATTGTGACTGTTTAACAAAAGATAACTTTTATTATGAGTCTTAGATTCTTTCCGGTAAAACAGGATCAACCGCCTCTTAACTCAATAAAATAAAATTTCCAAAAAGAAAAAGGTCTTGTTCTTGAATAAATGATATGCTGTTACTTGACTTACTTCTTTTCTTTTCTGGAAGTCTGTAAATTCCACGTCACCATTTTACTTTAACACTCTTATCTCGCGATATCCAAGTCTTTTATACGCTTGTGGTTACTATTTGTTTAGGTTCTATTGAAATCACATCGAGAAATGATAGTGCATTTTGGTAGGGAAACCACGATCAAAATGTTTTCTTAAACGTAATCGAAAGCGTTCGAGTTCATCTTACCTTGCGACATTAGTCTGGACAGTTTTGTTCTCTTTTCGTTTACCTTAAGCTTCGCCTCGGTTTAATAGCTTCATAAATGAAACAAGCCAGAGAATTATCCAAAGTAAAGTTTTCTCTGTTTTTCCTTGTTGGCTCGTGTGTGGGAAAAATGATATAATAAAGGCCCTAGGGCTCCGCAATATGATGTCGACTGTCACATATGTAAACAAGCTGTTTAACTTTCATTCATAAAGTTTGACATAAAGCACTAATTCTAGAGACAAGTTTGTGTGAAAGGTGAACTCTCCAGCAGATGTTCTTTTTTTTAGAATTGAGCAACAATAAAATTGATTCACCAAAGAGACCATGTTCTAGAGAGCTCTAAGAAAAGCAGACCTACTTTCTATAAAAGTGGAATTTGGAGGGTGGGCTAATTAAAAACTGATAACATGTTAGTCGACTTTAAATTTGAGTAGCCGATCATATTCTGGGACAAATCTTTCAAATGGAGTCTACTGTAAGGCACTAGTGCAAACATTGCTTATAGACGATTTTCGAGAGGTAGAGAGCCAGAGGCCATTTTTCTAAACTTGTAATTCAGGCAGAATTGATTGTTGATTTGGTTGAGTGACGCCAAATCAATTCCAAATATGATTTGTCGGGTCAAATATCAAGGGTGTTTCTCATCATTGTTTTAGTTGTTTTTCACGCGGCGAGAAAATAATACATTGGTTTAAGACAGGCCTGCGCCTGGGTTTAAGATTCTTCATACAATTCGTCGGTATTCAGCATTTTTGGTCTCACACTTTTCAATGACAATAAAGAAAACGAAATGCTTAGGCTAAGATAAAAAAAAAAATTTACGCAAAAATAAAGAGTTTCAAGCAACTTAGAAGAAGCAAACAACTGCATACACGCATGGACTCAGTGCATTAAAGATACTTGAAAACGTCTACAATTGGGAAGCATTAGCGAAACTTTGATAAACAAAATGTAAACAAGGAGTTTTATGAAGGGCAAGGTCTCTTTAGATAAATTTAGTAGCTTAGAATTTAATTTCTGTGAAATTCCGCTCTGCAGATAGGTCAAATGAAGCAACCACGTTGTAGAAGGTAATTTGGTTGTATCAACTAAGTTATAATTGTATAAATTGGCCACCGTGAAGAGTTAAAAAGCTGACGTTTCGAGCGTTAGCCCTTTCTCAGAGCTCTGACAAAGAGCTGACGCTCGAAACTTCAGCTTTTTAACTCTTTACGGTGGCCTACAATTCCAACTTAATTGATATAACCAAATTACCTTGTTACCCCCACCGACGCAGCACCACAGTTTCTGTAGAAACTTACCCTCTTTATTCATGTTGTAGAAGTCCAGTTTAGATCTTCGCCGATCCACCAAAAAGGATTACTGCTTGTCAATTAATGCAAATTTAAGATTGAATCTAGTTCCGATAGTTCCTGCCATTTACTTATGCATTTTATTCTTTACAAAAAGCACTTTTAGAGTCATCTTTGACATGCAAACAAGCTACAAGGTAGAATGATCTTAATTAAACAAACTACCCTAAAAACGCAATCATATAAATGATATCTGATATCATCTTAAGATTGCAAAAGCCGTGAGAAATTTCCTCTCAACGCGAAGTCCTATAGAAGTTAGCTACCAACCTAAAGTCAGGTAAAGTATTGATAGTGAAACACACTCACATAGATCAGGAAGTCCAAGGTCACCTCAAAGACGTTGCAGCCGTGGGGAAAATTAGTCTAACTTTTCGACGTATGAACTTTCGCGCGCGATTGCTTGTTAACAGGGCGGCAAGGAGAAGAAAATCAAAGGGAGGAAAAGCTACACTTTTGTCTCGAATCACGACAAGTGTCCAATTTAATTTTTCATTAAAACCTTCTGCATCGGCAAAAGGGACTGGCAGTTTAACGTTACTTGGATGTCAAGCTTTTCTACTTTCTCTTTCCACCGTCGGAAAGAAAAATTATCACTCACTGTGACTAGGTTTACACTAGAGGAAAGTTTTCCGGATTCGTAAATGTTTCCGGATTCATCAATTTTGGAGTATTCGGATTCGTAGGCGTTTACACTGAAAGGATATTCGGATTCTTGACCGCTTACACACAACGACAACTCAGGGAACATTCGAAATGGAATGGTTACCAAGCCCAGTGTTGTTTCGTCGTTCGATCGACAAAGTGGAAATGCCTCCCCCAAAAAAGGCTAGAGTAGATGCAGATGCCACTGAGGCAAATTTGAGTTGGACAGATGCCAAGCAGTCTACGTCGTCGGCGATTAAGTGTGGCTGACGTTAAACTTCCTTGCAATAATAATTTGCGTTTCTT